TCACATTGAACACATCATTCCCCATATCTTCAAATTTTTTCAAATTTTTCTTGAGTTCCTAGGGGGTTGAAACGTTCAATTTAATCAAAACTCCATAAGAGGCCGTGTATAAGACTGATTTTGTTTATTTAATTTTTCGATATCCATAAGTTCTAAAATTTTAAAATTGTCACCGATGTTCACCATTTGTCTAATACTATTAATTAAAAAAATTATAACTTTGTTGGTGAATGTCAATTTTCAAGGTCATCGCCAAATTCACTTGGCATCCTTAATAAATATGAAATTTGGCCTCCGGGAGGGAGGTGCCGAATTAGAACACCTATACATCCATGTGAACATTCATTATTGTATGCAGTGCCCTGAAGTGGTTCCTCATTTATTACCAGCGGCTTGTGGAATTCGCCCCAGTAGTCCCTCGGAGCCAACACCATTTACGAAGAGTTAGAGGATGAAGTGACCCAGGACGAGTTGTCATGAAACCGATTTTTCTTGATGTTGATGCGTAAGCGTTCAGCTTTTGCTCGTGGAGCGTCAGCGGTTCGAATCTCTCTCTCAGAGTGATTACTCTACCAACATCCCTTCCTTTGTGGCTTGCCGTGAAAGCGCACATTCTAAATTTTTGCAAAAATATAAAAGGACAACATGACTTCCATTTCGAACGTAACACCCAACCTCACTCACATCTCAACTGGTGTTGATGGAATCCAGTATCACATGGAACTGATAAAATACTGAATAGACTCCTGACGAAGCGTCAATCTCCCCTGAAATCCTTCCCAATCTTCTGACCCAAATGCCATCACAAACTGATACATTTCCATGCATCAGCTCGTCGCAAAGGAACTCAAACGAGATTTCTTCCGAGTTGAAAAGTCCTCAAAAGGACATTTGTCGTTTGCCAGACGTGGCATGCAGGTTAGACAGAGGTGACACACCGGATCGTGCGGAGCCGTGACAAGCCGTCAAGGACGAACCGAGGCGTGTACTCACTCCGACAGACGTTTTCTCATTTTCTCTATTTACGTTGCGACGACGCGAGCGGATAATGTCCCCAAAATCCCCACCCCACCCAGGCACTATCCAACTCTCTCTTTCTTCCGCCATTTCACATTCTACATGTATTCTCTCTGTCGGAAAACCGTTGTTGCACGAAACGGCAGTCGTGCAGTGTGTCATTCCACGTCAACTCTCGTTTGTCGCTACTCTCGCACTCTTAACGGCCAGAGAGGGGCGCCTCTTGGCAGCTCTTACCGACAAACGGACCCCATGTGGCTTGAAAAATATCACGCACACATGCATGTCTCGGGTGCTCCGCTCGCAAACTCTTAATCCATTTTTGCGTAACCCCATTATCCACCCCTGTCTCTGCCACTTTGCTGTGAATGGGGGGGGGGGGGAGACTATATGTGCGGCTTTGGATTATCCTGTCGGTGTGAATTATTACGTGTGACGACTATTGGTCCTGGTTTTATGGGACAACCCTGATCCTTCTGATGGATAGACTCCTGGAGGGCATCCTAATGAGGGAAGATTGGATTGATTTGATTGCGTGGGGGAAGTGCCTGTACCGCTCACCTAAGGAATAACGATAATTTTCGCATGTTTAGAAATCTTGGATGTTCAACTCTTGTTTCAATGCCGGCAAGTTGTCAAAAAATGAAGATGAAAAAAAGAAGATAAACTGAATGGAGCTAAGTGAGCGGTACTGGCCGCATGCAGCTAATACCGCTCAGTCTGATTTCTATATCGCTCAGTGCCTAACCTCTAGTCAATAATTGTCGAAAGAAATTTCCGATGTTGGATGCTTCAATGAAATGAATGGAATTCAGACTATGTCCCATAGGAATGCCTACCACGTCCATAGAAATGGTTATCATATGGATGGAAAATGGTCCTATGAACATAGGAAAGTATGATATCTCTAAAATATGCGGTTGAAATTCGCGATTGCCTCTTGATGCGTTCATAAACTCAAGATGCCCAAAGCTTAACCGCTTTAAAAAAATTAAACAAATTAAACTATTTATTTGAAATTTTCCTATCAAATTCTGCAGAATTTTTGTTCGAAACGTATATATTTATTTATATAATTGAATTATATGGAATAAATAGCGTATTCATTAGAAGTGGATAATTAATTAGAAATAAATAGACAATTCATTTGGTTCCAACGAAATTATTACACATCAATAAATTCTTACGATTACGGAATCGAGTCAGAAAATTTAAGTGACGGTATCGTAATTTTTCACAGGAGATTCAGATAAAAATTACGGAACGCTCGTGAAAAATTTCGTGATTTTAGGTAAAAATTACGTGACAGTTCCGTAAAATTTCCTAATTTAATAATTTTTATTCAATATTTCTCTCCGTGTAGTAATCGTTACTATTTTATTTTCCGTACTGACCTTCACTTTTCTTCGTTCGGGGATTGGTATTGGCCCTTCCCCAAACTTGTAAAAGTGAAAATCACTACGAAAAAATATCGTTCACGACTAGTACAATGGGGTTTTTTGACTCGCGTGGTTGGTCAGTCCTCGCCTGTCGGCTCGGACACCAACACTACGCGAGTAAGAACCCCCTGGCACTCGTCCTGATATATGCTATTTCTCCGTGTGGTTGTGGAGAAAATCAAGTGAGCGGTACTGACTGCTGAGCGGTACAGGCATCTCTTCCCCTGACGGCTGAAAACAGTTGGACAAACAGAATATGCGGGATTCACTTCATCCGTCTTTGTCTTCGGGGTTCCCCTGGATGGGTGTATGTGGAGTATTGCGGGCCGTTGAGGTCTCCTTGTGATGCAATTTTTTATGTTTAACCGATAAGACTTGCGCGAAGTCGCACGGGTCTTCCCCGCCGTCTCTGATTTCTGCTGAGATTATGCCGTATATGAGGGATCGGAGTGATTGGAGGTGCCAGTCGTTGCCGATCTATCGAAACGAAGAGTAAGTACTCGGAACACAATTAAGATTAATTATCTTTCATTTAATTCATTATTATTGATCAAAGTCCTCACGTTCGCAATCAATCAAGCAATAATAATGAATTGATTAATTAATTGGTTGATTAATATTCAATAGGGAATCTGTGATTCAGTTGATTTACAGTTTGATTTTTGTTCGGCGTTTCCTAGGAGTAAATAATCATGAAATTCACCGCCGTCCTGTTATTTCTCGCCGCAGTCATCATGGCTGTCGCTGGTTCCCCATTCAGGGACAAGCATAGACCAAGTAGACCAGGAAATGGAGGATTCCCAACATTCCCTGGACAAGGACCATTCAATCCTAAGTTACCATCAGGACCGTGGGGCAAACCAGGCAGTAAGCAGTCATTTTTCACCCGATTCTCCCAAATTATTTCACACTGTTAGAAAATTACTCCTGAAATTTTAAGTGAAAAAGCTTGAAATTTTTAACAATGACAAAGTTACATGAAATTTATGTAGAATTCTTTATTAACAAATAGGGCTGCCCACGAGACTAAACCGAGATTAAACTTTGGAGAGACCGTCTCACTCCGAAAAAACATGAAACTTTTTGGGACTGTCTTAGTCGCGAAAGGCATCGTATCGCCTCCTCCAGTGATGACCACAAAAAAAAATTATCTCGTCACAGTCTCCACCTTTTCGGGTTTTTTAGGTTCAAAGTCTCGGATTGAGAGTCTTGGTCTCGGTCTCGGTCTCAAACGAATAAGAATGAGAAAAAGTGGAGATTGTCACGAGATAATTTTTTTTGTGGTCATCACTGTAAGAGACGATACGATGCCTTTCGCGACTAAGGCAGTCCCAAAAAGTTTCATGTTTTTTGGAATGAAACGGTCCCTCCAACGTGATCTCGGTTTAGTCTCGTGGGCAGCCCTATTAACTAATTAGTTAATTTCTTGAATATTCCGGTAATTCTCGATTTTTAAGTCCGTACGACACTGAAAAATCTTGAAAATTTTGAAAATTCAGGCGATAACTTTTCTAAATTTTCAATCTATTGAAAATTGAATCGTTTATGATGTTCAATTTTCACGATAAGCTTGAAAATTCAAACTTTCATTAAAAAATCAATGATTCTTTAACCTAAAAAACCGAATTTTCTTGAATTTTCATGAAAAATGAAAAATTTAGTGAACGTTTTCGTTTGAAATTGAATTCAAACTCACAGTATTGAATATTCAGATGACATTGTGACTGAAATTTCAAGAAATTTCTAACAGTGCAACATTTGTCCATTATTCAAATTGAATGTTAATTAATTTTTCTAGGAAACTGAACATCCACCAATCTGGGCATCTCAATACTCAACCTCACTCCATCAACACTTCAGAATGTACACGAATAAATAAAATCACACATTAAATTCCGCACAAAAGGCCTCCTTTATTGTTCTTCAAACCCCTCTATGACAAACTAATTTGACATATAAATCCCGCCGAGGTGTACAGAGGCAATGACAGTAAAGAAACACGCTACGTCGCCTCGTATGACGTTATCCACTGGAAGAGTGGACAGTGACGAGGGCGAGCCGTGTGTGTCGCTGGTACTCATCTCCTCCACATTTTTTTTTTGTATTTTTTTTATACTTCAACCAAATCCAATTCAGCCAAGCCCAGCCAGCGTATATTGTTTTTAGGCGTTAATGTGGTTGGACGTCTGTCAGATGGGAATTCTACCGTTAAAAAATGTGAAACTCACTCGCCGACTGACGGCTCCTCTAACGAGGATGTATCGCGGCTGTCTTGCTCGCCCACCGCGCCTGTCCATTCGCAAATAATTTTTTTCATCTGGAGCACCTCCCACCTCTCACCGACCCCTAAAATGAACAAAAACGAGTTGAATGAAATTACGAAATGCGAGAAAAAAATTCTAAAATTGAACGAACGGATGAAATATTAAGAAATTGTTGATAAATTGAACCTGACATTTTTCAATTTTGATCAATACCGCGAACATTCGCTGCGAAGAATGGCAGCGAGAGGGAGAAAGGGAGGGGGATGGAGAGGGAGATGGAAAGCCTCGCCCACGGGCTCTATCATTTTGTTTCCCGGCTTTTTTTTATAATTTTCAGTCGATCAAGCAGTTTCTCATTTCGTACCTGTCAATACCACATTGTCAGAGACTGACGAGCACCTGCCTAAGCAACACATACTCATACAATCCACCTACATTCCCGGTTTGCATGTCAGCCCCAGGACAGCGAGAGAGGGGGCGATGGCAAAAGGAGCGAGGCGAATATACGGTGAGACAGGGCATCGTCCAACGTCACTCCAATGTCGTTACGATCGGACACTCACTCCAACTGGAAGACTGACGTTTCATTCACGATTCTACGCGGGGTAATGGGATATATCGAGATGCTAGAGGCGGTTAAATGACACGGGGAATATTTTTTCTTCGACTTTTTAAGGGGAAAATAGACGTTTTGTTGCGAATATTTTACGGGAAATCACCTGGAATTATCTGATGTTTGACATTTTTAGGTGAGGAATTCCTCTTGATAATGAGGATTCATGATATTCATGGATTTTTTAATTTACATTTAGTGATTGTTAATTATTTGTAATTTTCAGGAGAGTGGAATTTCACGAAATCTTGCCATTGAAAAATCAAATATTTCATTGATTTTCCGTTCAAATGGTCTAAAAATCAATAAAATATTTGATTTTGAGTTCAATTATTCTGTGAAAATTCAGAAAAATCAGGAAAATTCATGTATTTTGTTTCTGAACATTAATGTTCCATTGAAAATTCAATCAAAGTGTGAAATTCCATCTCACTCCCACTGAAAACTTACGAATTTATGGGAATTTTGCTTAAAACTTGAAATTTCATAACCATTTTTCCCTAAATTCGATTCAATGTCACTCCCATGAGATTTACTATAATAAAAAATTAAAATTCCAATTATTTGAAAATTCAAGAATATAATAATTTCAAATTTCCTGATTTCTATTCATGTTCATGAGATAATTAAGCTAAAATCGACAGTTTCCATTGATTTGTCTCTAAAATTTCCGATTTTTATAACGAAAGTCCTTGAAATTTCAGCAGAATTATCTGATAAAAATGTCCAAGTGTACACGGAGAGAAATTTTTGATAAAAATTATCCTACCGTTCTATAAAAGTGTATCGTGAGTCATCGTTTCTTCATTTCTATTCCGAAATTTAGTAAGAACTAATATATGATAATCAAATTTTATTCTACGTTAGAGAAATTTAATCCCGATAAAAATAAAAATTACCGCGCCGGTAGAGTAAAAATTACTGTACCGGTAGGGTAAAATTTATTATGCGTCAGGATAAAATTTCTCTAACGTAGAATAAAATTTGATCATCATACATTAATTTTTATTAAATTTCGGGATAGAAATGAGGAAACGATGACTCATGATACACTTTTATAGAACGGTAGGATAATTTTTACCAAAAAATTCTCTCCGTGTATAGCGGCAATTTCTTGTAAATTTTCAAACTATGTACCGTAAATTACAGCCAAACATTTTTCATAGTTACCAATAAAAAATTGTCATTGAAAAACCTACATTAGAACATAAACTATTGACCTTACGATAACATACTAAACCATCACTCAACAATATGCGCAACAATCCGTGAAATGCGGTGAGATTTGATAGTCAAGTAATTATTCAAATTGATCCAGGTGTCCTCTCCCGGCGGGGTCACCCAGAAATCGAGGCGATTGTCACAGTGCGACGGATATTGATGATGGGGGATAAGACCCCCCGGCCTTTGCCCATCAAATCCCACCGGAGGATCGCACGAGAGAGTTTCGACCCCGCAGCAAATCCTCCTGACCGATCTCCTCTTTCGCCCCGTAAAATTGTAATCGACGTGCAATGCACAAGGGTCCCACAACAAACACTCAGTAACATTCTGTTTGGAAACATTGTCATCTATCATTCATCAAGAGTTCTCCTCCGGCCTGTCACATTTTCCAATGTACACAAACTTTTTATCTGATCAAAAAACCTTGGTGCACGAATCAATGATAAATTTTCAAAGAATACATTGAATATTTTTGATGATGAATGCTTGATGGTCGTTCACTATCCCCGGAAATGGGAAAAGTGTCAGGGGTCCGAAAACAGATGGCCATCAGTTGAAACTCGTCACTGTTCAGCAATATAATTGTCAGTGATAAATGGAGGGATTGAGCATGTCCATGGGGGTATAACATGAGAGAGTGGAACTCTCTCGTTACCAGTGTCAACCCTCATGGTCATTCAATGGAACCGCGCTAATATTTACAGCCTCGGTTGGGGGAACATAAAAACGTCGAAAATGGTTTTGGGCTATTAATAACATGGAAATATACATTGAATCGTTGACGAGTGACAATGCTCCCTTATAATTAAACTCCAGGGATTAAAAAATTTGATGGATGCGCTGTATCGTTCGGTCTTTTTCATTCCTCTTGTAATTGACGGAACATTCTTGCTTCCATTGAGAATCGAAATATCAGGGATCAAAATTAATACTTGCGAAGTCCATTTATCATCAAGAATAGTATGTTGTGCACCGAGGGCGGATGTTTTCCCTGCCGGAGGTGCACATGCTATTTTCCGTCACGGCGGGCGCAAAGTGCACATTTCCCTTCAGTTTCGCGGGATATGTGACTGCGCCTCCGCAGTAACGGGAAATAACGTCCTGACCACGGGAAGTAATAAGGACCCACGTCCTTACCACCCTCGCCTTCGATTCAGGCGGTAATTCGGCACGTAGGCACGACTCCTTTACTTTCCCTCCAGGTAGGGACTATACTATTTTAACACGCGTGCAAACACGGAGAGAAATGTTCAATAAAAATTACCAGGAAAAATTACGTGTTGAAGTGTAATCCGCAAGCGAAGTCAAAGTTCAATATAAAGTATCCAATCGTCACGTAAATTCTACGTCCTGTTCCGTAAAAATTACTCACCCATCCAGCACGTCACGGATAGCGGTGAGGGGGAGATTTTCAGAACACGCTCCGTAATTTTTATTTCTGCGCCGTAATAAGTCTTGGAATTTCTGTTAGATTTTACAACTTCCAAAAAAATTACGTAACTTTTTCGTATTTTTTCAGTGACAAACCTGAGAATTTACAGAACGTCACAGATTTATTCTCTTTAATTCCTATAAACATTCACTGAAAGGGATCTAGGATTGGGGATTACGTGACTTGTTCCGTAATTTTTACTGAAAATTTCTCTCCGTGAAGGAACGTTTGTATTTTGCCTTCTGATAAGCGGCAGAAAAGTGAATACTTTCCGCTCCAGGATGGAAATTTGTTCCCGAGGAACGAAAGTACACTGATAGAATGATTCATTTATTCCAAACGAGATTCGTTAACTGTTAACGAATGGTAGAGTTGAATATGACCAAATGAATATTCGTTAATAGTTAACGAATGGTTCACTTGAATGGCGAAAGTCAAGTCAAACAAGGCTCCTCAAATATACATTCATTAACTATTAACGAATGAACATTTGGTGAGACCGAACAGACCCTAACCTCCAACCAAAAGCCATTCGTTAACAATAACTAATCCGTTCTATCAGTGTACTGACTTTCCGTGTTTTCTCAATAATTTAGTTGGGAGAGTGCCAGGCGCGTAACTGGGAGATCCGGGTTCGAGTCTCGGCTGGATGGTGCGGGTTTTTTTCTCTCAAAAATCTAATTCCCTTTGAATTAAACAAAAATTCAAAGAGATTCCTTTGATTTCTTTCAGATGTCTTGAATCCGCTTTTAAAAAGTCCAGTGTAACGACTTTTGAAGCCTCTATTCCGCTTATCAANCTTGGAGCACCGATTATTCAAGTGCCGCGGTAAACTCTCTTTACCCCCTCTCGACAGAGCCCGAGTAAGCGCCGTTTATCGGGCCGAGTGACGAAAAATATATTATACATGTATGTTTCATACCGTGATTTTTTTCAACTGTAAAAAAATTGATATAATTATATAAATCAAAATATGTATAGAATAGTATATATGTATATAATACATAATACATCCCTAAAAATAAATACGAATACAAAAAGCAGAAGAGAAACGACGAGGAAGATGAAGAGGATTATGACGATTCCAAAGAAATTATTCAACAATTCAGTAGCGAAGTGGTAAAACGGTTTACGACGACTTATCTCTCAGCTGAGTTTTTGAGGAATATTTCCCATTCTGAGGGAGAAAGCGAAATTTTCGTAATTACATTTGTTGTAGCTCTCAATTGGCTCCACAAAAAAGGTGTATTTAAAACACAGCAATAGTTTCCGATCTAATGGCACCGGGCTCAACGAAAATTCTCGAAAGACCTCGGGACCCTTCGGGTTCACGGTCAGGTCACGAAATCACCCATCGAGTTCAGTAT